GTCAGTGTCCTTTCAAAATATAAGGGTGTTATGACAGACCATTTAATTGGGGAACTTATAAATCAAGACCGAACCAAGGTAGGCCTTCCAGGCACGTTCAGCTTTGAATGCTGGCTTTGGGGCAAGCATCTCAAGTAATTGCTTCTCCCGTCCCCGAACTATTTAAAAAACAAATCCTGCAATGATTATTTTATTAAATCCGCAGCAGTTTGGCAGCCCGGTCTCCCTGACCGTGTGCCCTTCTCTCCTACCTATTTTCTCCAGCTTTGTTTGACTGCCAACTCCTACTAGTGAGGATGGGAGCAGAGTCAAACAGACCAGGAGGAGATTAGATGGCAAAAAGCTGGTTCTTGCCAATAGCCCTTGAAGGGGCAGGAGAATAATCCTTCAGAGATTTCCACCAGAATTAAGCAAGAACATATGCTGGTAAAATAAGCATATGTTACCGTAGACAAGATGGGTGAGATGTTGTGACTTTGGGGAGATGTTCTTTGTCTGGGAATGCGTTGTGCAGAGTTTCCCTCTGCCTAGACTACACAATGGTCAATGCTGGGTTTCCCAGGATGATGAATATCTTCTGCCTTCCCCCTTCTGTCCTACTGACATCCACGGTGTTTTATTTTTTTCCCCCATGAATAAACTTTGGCATATGAAAAGAATCTATCTTTAGAAAGATTTATACACTTTTCTTAAGCTCTCAGGCAGAGAGGCATAGATATTATCTTATATCAAGCTGTCATTTTATGAGGTTTTGTATAATATCAAATGTGTGTAACCCCATAGTAAAATCTGCGGATGCGTACACCTAACAAGTTCCAAATATAATGCAATCAATCATGCACTGCCTGCTAGTGGTCAAAATATAAAAACAAGGCTCTTTGTGTTCCCATTGGGTTTTTAAGTGAATTTGCCACCCTGCCACCCCCCAGTTTCGTCATCAAATTCTGTTTTCCGGTCTTGCTGGGAGCCATTGACCTGGCCCTGAGTATGCATGTCCTTACTCACCCCACCCTCTTCCTAGTCGTGACCTGATCTGTTTGCTGGAGAGGCAGCCTGTTCCCAGAATTCCCGACTAATATGGCTGATGGCTTTGAAGAATTCTGGGCGATCTAGGAATTCTGAGCAGACTATCCTTGATTCTGATGAAACCCAAAGATTGGGAACAGATCTCCTGCCCTTTGGTGGGCTTCCTCATTTCTGGCAGGTCTCTGGGGTTGATACAAGCAACGTTCCTAGGATATTGTTTGTATAGTACACATTTGTAGGACAGATTTAGTTCTAGAGAGGACTGGCTAATTGGGGAATGACAGGTCACTAAATGTTGTGCTTTAGGAAAGAGGACAAGAGCTGAATCATGTCTTTGCTAATTTGCCAGTATAAAGCTATTTAATCTGTAATAGATTACATCTTGCAAAGATGGGACCCAATGATTGAGATGTGAAATGAACGTGCTTAATCCCCTGAATGGCACGATGAGCCGCTTAATTTTGTCTTCAATTTGAGTAATAAGAATGGAAGTTAAAATATCATTATTAGTGACTTACGTATCTCATTACAATTTGAAATGTTGTCAGGATTTTGTGCAGTCGCTGGAGAGAAGTTATCACTCATGCAATATTGAGCCGGTGACCTTAGTGATTCACTGATGATGAAAGGCCCAATCTTACATTTTATTGAACATGATATTTATGAAAAATTGAACTGCTCATTTCTGTTGCTTAATCAATAGCACATTAAGCCATTTATCACTAATTTGATTAAATGAGGTCCTTGCCAAGCTGGAATTTCTACTCCTTCCTCATCTGCTTTAATTCTTATAACCAAGGGAAAGGAGGTGTGTTTGCAGCGAGATGTGTTTTCAGAAGCTGGCAGGTTCGTCCAATTTGCATGTTGATGAACTAAGAATAAAAAACAACAGAAAAATGCTCAATTCCAGAAACAGCTTCAGTCCCGCTATATGTATTAAAAGTGTGTAGTTTTCTGCTGATTTTCACCTCCTATTTAGGGCACCCTGACTTTTTGTTTCTGAGTTAAAAGCTGGGCAAACTTCTCCACTAGTCAAATAGAATTAAAGGTCTTCAGGTGGAAAGCCTTAGATGTACTTCTGTGTTTGCATGGTGGTTTAATCATAGATTGCTCATCCTGGAAGGGACCTCATAGATCGTTTAGTCCTGCTTGATGCAGGATCTGTTAAGACGTTTCAGACAGATGGCTGTCCAGTATCTATTTGACGACTTCCAGTAAAGGGGAACAGACCAGCTCATGAGGCAGGCTGTTCCAGTGGTTGACAGCTCTTACTATCAGAAGTTCCACGGAATATTTAACCAGAGTCAACTTCTCTACAATTTCAATACATTTGTTCCAGTCTTGCCCTCCCAGACATCCTTCTCGGTAAGGACCATTCAGATATTTGGAGACTGCAACAGGGTAAAGATAGGACAAGAATCTAATAAATCAATAAGTATATTCAGATCCTTTAACTATCCTGGACCCCTCCCCGTCTTGACACCCCTCTTCATCTTTAAATCTTCTCTGTCTTTGCAATATTTTTTCCATTCAGATAGCACTTTTTTAAAGTAACTCTTTGCTCAGATGATCCTGGATAATTTCAAAATTTGCTGCTCCCCCCATGCCTGATTGATTGATTTCAAATTTGTCACCGCCCATCTCACTGCAGAGTGACTCTGGGCCGTTTTAAACCAGCAAGCGTTCTTTTCATTTGTTTGGGAACCTGGGTTGCGTTGAATTTTTGCCGTTCTCCCTGTCTAGAGCAAGAAGCCTCTTCTACAGATAAAAACCCTGTCCCTCTGATCTTAAATGATGCACCTTCTTCCTTTCTTAGTGTTTCGTGCAGGGGGCCATGAATCGCAAAACTTGATGCAATAATAAATGTGTTGGTCTTTAAAGCGCCAGACTTTATTAAGATTTGGAATTAAAAAAAAAAAAATTAGCAGAGCTGCTCCTCTATAAAACCTATGCTTAGATTCTTCCCGAGAATAGAACCCTGGAGTTGGAAGAGATCCTAAAGGTCATTTAGTCCAACCCCATGATCAGTGCAGGATTGATTCCTGCACAGCATCTCCAACAGAGGACCCGTCAGCCTCTCTTTGAAGGCCTCCAGTAAAAGAAAGCTCGTCACTCATGCGATGGCTGACAGCTCAACTCAACCTCTTCCTGTCATGTGGGATGCCAGCTGTCTTTGTGGACCCCCCCCCCAGCAGATTTCCAGCCGCTTTTCTAGGCACCGTCCTGCTATCCAAGACTTACTTGATGACTAATTCAAGAGTGTGGGTATGTGTGTGCACACGCAGGTTAGAACATGCCAAGTCAATGTGGTATGCCTGAGTAGGACACAAAAAAAGCAGATTGCCTTATTTATCCTCTTGATCTGGGGGAAAACTGAGTTGCAGGAGATGATAATAGTAATTTTGCAGTAGCAGAAGAGCTGTGATAACCTCTACCCATTTTGGCTTTAATAAAAGTCTTCCTTGGGCACTGTAAATTCGAAAGGACTCACAAAATGGCTGATAGGGCTTTATTCTTGGTGTGATGCCAGTTCTCAAAACTTTGAGAACTTTGGAGGTTGGCATGTCTATTATTTTCTTGGCGCTGCTGAGGTGTGCCACAAAGTTGCATCTTATCTTCCATGGATTTCAGGGAGAATATCTGGGCTTGAAGGGGGCTTTGAATGGCCTACAGTTTGCACCCTGTCTCATGCGAGTGCAGGGAGGCAGAAAAAAGTGAGGATTTGATATTTGGTTCCCACATAGGTGGCAATCAGGAGATCAGCAACGTAATCCTGATAAGAGAAAAGGGCCATTAGCTTGGATTTCTGTCCTTGGATCTATTTTTGATGTGGCTGTACTCTCCTGGAAGGAGGGAACCAGCAGCAGCTTGGAGGCACCTTCTGCAGATGTTCCTTTGGTCATCTTTAGTGATGTCTTGGAGAACAAGCTTTAGCTTCTCATTGCTATGCATTTGTTAACTTCCATCTTGGATAAGTAGAGTTTATCCCTTTCTGGAGCTGCTTTTCCAAACAGTCTAGACCAGTCTTTCTCCACCAGGCTGGGGAATTCTGGGAGTTGAAGTCCACCCCTCTTCAACTTGCCAAGGTGGAGAAAGACTGGTCTAGACATTTCTGTTAATCTAAAGTGCACAACTGGAAGTTTGCCGTTGGATGGCATATCTCTGCTCTTAATTGCATTTGTTTCCTGGCACAATGCGAAGTGTGGCTGAGCCTTTAAGTCTCTAATGGACTGTACACCAAGGACCTTCCGCCTCGCCCTGCTTTCCACACCTTCATCCCTGTTGCACCTTCATCCTCTTGCACTGCATCCTTCCTCTTGCACTGCTGGTGAATAAATTAATTATGCATTGTCTGAGAAAGGTAGCGCTCCGGGCTGTCGTGAGCTGGCTCCCGGTCAGTTCTGCTGTTAAAGCATAGGTGCCACCAGGTCGCCTGGCTCTGTGCCTGTGTGGGTCCAACCAGGTTTCTCCTGTGAAAAGGAAGTGGGAAACGGTGAAGCCTCCGTGCATTGCGTTGCCCTGCTTCTCTTCCCTCCTTTCCCCCTCTCCATTCCGTTGCGTTACCCCAGTTGAACATTATGGCTTCATAAAATGAATAAAATGCTTTTGAGCGCGTGCTCCTCAGGGTAGAAAGACAGCCGCTCGCACGTTGTGAAATACCACGCGCTCGATGGCAACATAAAAACCCCAGTTAGAGTGATCTTGGGGGGTGCTGTTATAGAAACTGTCGAGATCGTTTAAAGTGCCTGAAACGCGTCGGTTCGTCTTTGCTATTATCACATTGCGCCAGATGCACGCTCGCTCCTCTCCCCCGCAGGTCCCCCATCTCACGCGGCTTTATTGTGCTCGCCGTTTGAAAGTGCAAAGTGTCATGGCATGTGAATGATTGACTTCCCTTACTGAGCAGATTTTGAAGGTGATAGTGGCCTAGCTGCATTGATTTGTGCTTAATTGGATTTTTTCTCTTCTCCTAGGCCTCTCAAGAGGAGTTGAAAGCTGCCTACCGCAGGCTGTGTATGTTGTATCATCCCGACAAACACAGAGACCCAGAACTCAAGAGGCAGGCTGAACAGCTCTTCAACCTCCTTCACCAGGCTTATGAAGGTCAGAGGCGGGCTCCGTTCCACAGCTGAAAGCTGGATTTTTCGGGCTGGCGTGTCTCTGGAATCTGGAGAACGTGCCTTCATGTTGGGGAGGGGGTTTGGCCCAAAGGAGTCAAAAATGCCAGGAGTCTGAGAAGGCTGGTGGTGGGTTGATAGCTTGCTTGGATCCCGTTTGGGGAGTCTTCTGCAACAGCGAAGAGACGCCATCTCCTAAGGGCCTGAAGGTGGTCCCTTCTGCGAATAGGCTAGCCCAGGGTTTCTCATCCTTGGCAACTTTAAGATATGTGGACTTCAACTTTCATGCAGAAGCAGGTAACCAGGTGCCAGGAATCATCATCTTGCAAGGTCCTGAAAAGGGGGTTAAGCATGGGAGAAACTCAGGGGCGGCAAGATAAGCCTCAGAAGCAGTGCTTCTCAACCTTGGCAACTTTAAGATATCTGGACTTCAACTCCCAGAATTCCCCAGCCAACTCCCAATTGTGGGAGTTGAAGTCCAGATATCTTAAAGTTGCCAAGGTTGAGAAACACTGGGCTAGGCTGCTTATTTAGTTCATACCTACTCTGCCTAGCTGTTTTCCTTTAGCTGGCAGGAGCCTTGCCTTGCTCAAACCAAGGTGCTGCCAGTGTATATGAGAAGATAGCCATCTATTTCTCTTCCACCCTCCCTGGTCCCAAGTGAGCACAGTTGAGGTCGTAGCAGCTCGCTCCAGCAAGGCTCCAGCGTTCATGAAGCACCCCAAAGACTTTATGAGCCCCACCACAAAGTTCAGGCTTTGCCAGAACATATGAATCGGTGATATTCAATTCCTGGCACCAATGGCCGAGAAAGACTATGTCCCTGGGCCATGTTGCCTGAATTTCAAGAAGATGAGAGAGCCACCATTTCCACTCAGGTGTTGAATGGCCCTGTTCTGCACAACGGCCTAAACAGGATCAGGGTGGGCAAACACCAGGGCATAGTTGGCAGTGGGGCAGGAACATCCCTGGGTTGGCTCTGAGTTAAGCTGCTCGTACTTGGTCGAGCTGGGGGAACTTTCCAATCCCTCTTGGCCCTTTCTGGAAGGAAGAGTTAGAGGTATAGAATGAAATTAGAGAACTCCTTGCTGAGTCAAACGCTGCTTTGTTGCAGCAGCTAAGCTCTCTGTGCTGCTGTCTGTCTGGCGAGAAGCTGCTGCTGATGTCATGAAGCCCTGCCAGGCACAAGGCATTTCCTGCAAAAAAAAGGGGGAGGGGACTTCCATTTCCCACCTGGGGCTTCTTGATTAGGTTAGTGGGGTTGTGAGCTGCAGAACCTGTGTTAAGGAGACTTGATTAGGTTAGTGGATGAGTAGGTTAAGTGTGCTGTGTGAGCAGGGGAAGTTCACAGGTCTGTATAGTTTAGGGATACAAAGCGTTGATTGATTACGTGCCATCAAGTCGGTGTCAGCTCTTAGCAACCACATTGATAGACCTTCTCCAGGATGATCTGTCCCCAGTCTGGCCCTTCAGATCTCCCATAAGTACATCCACCACTGCTGCAATTGAGTCCATCCCCCTTGCTGCTGGTCGTCCTCTTCTTCTTTTTCCTTCCACCTTTCCCATCACATCTGGGTCTTCACATCATGTGTCTGAAGTAGGATAATTTGAGCCTGGTCATTGGTGGCTCGAGTGAGAGCTCTGGGCTGATTTGTCTGATGATTCATCGGTTTGTTTTCTTGGCTGTCCATGGTCTTCTCAGAAGTATTCTACAACACCAAAATTCAAGCTTCAATAATCTTTCTCTCCTGCTTCTTCAAAGTCCAACATTTGCTTCCATAGAGTGTCAAGACATGGCATGCACACAGTGAACCCCAAGCTGTGCTGTGTTAGTGATCCAGTTCTCTAAACTTTCCAAAGGCTGACTCAGTACCAGATACAGATTTCAAGCTATAAATGTGCAAAAAGTCCCTATAGATGAGCTCCTCCATTTCCCTGCCCTGCCCTGCCCTGCCCTCCCTTCCCCCTTTGCATCAGTCTTGACTGCTAAAGACTACACAGATGATTCTTCCTAGGGCTAAGAAAGAGTGACTTTGGTCCATCCCATTCTTTAATAGTTGAGTTAGAATAAAAATACTGGTACTCTTGGTAGGCCTGTCTTAACATTAAAGTCAAGCCTTCTTGCAGTATGCTTTGCTACCTATTTCTAAGATATTGGCCGCATCAAGACTGAGCTGTCCGTGATGCTTCCACAGGCTTCTTAGGCTGGTAGATGCCCACGTGATTCTTTGTTGTACTTCCTGTAAGAGATTAACACATTGGCACTTCTGGTATTGCCCATAAGCAGACAGCAGAGATCTCCAAGTTATTTACAAATGCTTAACCACAGAACTCCCTCCTAGTTAATGCGTCTGCTGTTTCTGTCGGACAGACAGGAGAAGTGAAGCGGGCAGAGGCCTGCAAGGTTACCCATGGTGGAATCTGGCAAAGAACTGATTTTCTCCCTCTGCCCCCCATCCCCAAATTCCCAACAGTGTTTCCTTCCTATATACAGTATATAAATATAAAAGATTTTCCCAATCTTCTATAAAAGCTTTTAAGTATCGTATTGCAGGAGAGGGAAGGTTGCCAAAAAAATTAGATTAGATGTTATTTGCCATCCAGAGTGTGCAAAATGATGAATCGACACAGTTGTCATAATGTGATATCGCCAAATTTTTAGCTGTGCAGTCATTCCTGTCAAACTTCCCTTGAAATGCTTGTACTTCTGATGGCGTTCCATTATCTGGGTTTGGTTGAATGAATCTTGTATGCATCTGAATTATTGATAGTTTGCAGCATTTTGGAGATTTGGGGGAGAAGTAACTGAAGCTTAAGTAAATTAGGAGCTGGCCAGATTTGGCCTTTTTTGTAGCAAAAACTGCAGCACCAGCAGTTTTTGTTGTCCATTGCTTTGGCCCAGAGGGAAATAGTGAATAAATGATTTCTTATTAAATTCAGAGATTAGCTGGAGAAATTTGGCTCTGGAGTTTCCTGAAGGGTCAGCATTTCTTTCCTCCCGTTGCTTTGGACGTGGGTAGAATCCTTTACAGCATCCTTAATTAGACTTTGGGGTACATGGGAGCAAGATTTTAAGAAGCTGGAAACCCAGCAGAGATTTGGAGATGTGATGCTTCTGCCCATGAAACCTCCCAACCTTCCCCTTCCAAGTGCCCCATTTTGAAATCCAGTTCTAGAAGGGTGCTGGGTGGGGGGGCTTCTGCTTCCCCCCTCCAGAATCTATAAAAAAATAGGCTTAAAAATACATATCTGGCTTTACAGTTGGATCTGCCGCGTGGTTACCCTTGACAGATAGCTCCAATTGGCTATGTCATTAAAAAGCGTATGAGTTGGGTGGCCTGGTTTTTGCCTTCTAAAAATATAGTGGAAGGTTCTGGCAAGGGTGTTTGTGTGTGCTGGGTGGAAAAACTCTCTTTGAACTCAGCCTAGAACACCGCAGGTTCTGATAACATCTTGATTTTAATTTTCAGTGCTCAGTGACCCACAGACCAGAGCCATCTATGACATTTATGGAAAGCGAGGCCTTGAAATGGAAGGATGGGAGGTAAGAAGACAAGACAGTTGCTGGCCATATTATCTGGAGCCCATCTTTTCTTTGGGGTTTTCTGTCTTGGGTGGGGAGAGGGTAAAGTCTGTGCAGTAACTCTTGTGCCTGCGTTTTAAGAAAAACCAGTGTTCCTCTTTGGTACCTCCTACAGAGGCATTTTAGTCCTGGGCTGTATAACTGTAAACTAGAGGAAAGCAGGGCAGAGGGTGCTCGATGCTTCTCCATTAAAAGCAAGCAAAAAAGAATGCTCAGCACTTAGGAATTAGCACACGGGGGGGAACCAGAATGTCTGCCTTGCCAGAGCCTTTCTACCCAACTGTCTAAGACACTTTCTCAACCTCAGCAACTTTTAAGATGTGTGGGCTACAACTCTCAGAACTCCCCAGCCAGCCATCTCTTGGTGATTTGGGAGTCACCCTGGGAGAATGGTTCAGTATCTTCTCATAGATGTGATGGGATGTATAGCAATTTG